GATGTGTTTTTATAATTATAATTGAAAAAGCCACCACAGATACATTTATCTCACGCACTTGGGTTGAGTTTCATTTTCTGCAATGCCGGGTGAAACAGAATTGCTCATTTAATTGCAGCCGCAATACGATTTATATTCGCCTTGCTCTACGAAATGCAGAAATAAAAAGGTCAAAAGAATGCTGCGGGGTCATAAATGGGAAATGGAAAAGCTACAATTTGCAACAATGATTTAAATTGCCCAGTTTTAATGTGGAATTTTTAATGATAATTGAAAGTAAAACCTTTTGAAGCGCGGCAAATTATTAAATGGAAACATTAAGATCTTAAAATTTTTCCAATTCGTGAATCTTAAGCGTCCGATACTCAAGGAATAAAATGTTCCGCCATCGAGCCAAGCCATGAAGCCGATCTATGTATGGAGAACTCATAACTCTGTGGTAATCCATTTGTTTAATTCAATTCGAGGCAAAAACATTAAATATTCAAAGCCATCAAACGAACAGGAAGGCCATTAAAAGGAACCACCAGAAAGAGTCCAAAATAAATCCTTAATTAATTTTCGATTTTATCAATCTGGAAAAAAACGCGGGGAAATTCGGTTTCATTACAGCTGGTGTGTGTCCCTCATAAACTTGGGATTTATTTGTCCCCATATGTGCTTTTTGCTAGTCTGCCAATCGCTGGGTGTAATAACTGCAGAATAAATTCAATGCAGCGTGGGCGGTAAAAACAATTAATTGGGGCTGCAACATCAGCATTCATTCCATTATGGATGTCAGCAGTCAGCGCAAAAACTACAAAGATGATGGCCAAGGCAGGTTAAAAAATATTGGGGGTGTACGAAGGGGGTAGAGCGAACGGTTAGCCGCTCCCATGTGCCATATAAACGAATTTAATTATTGTTCATGTGCTGAAATATGAGCAAATTTATTTATGGCCCTGCATGCAATGCCAGGTGCCCGGCAGAAGTTCTCGTAGGTGGACTCTCTTGCGATCCGGATATGGACACGGCGAGTCCTTGTTGCCTTTGTTGTTGCATAAATAAATGTTGCTGGCAAACATCGTTGTTTTTTTTTTCTTGTATTATTTTATTTTCAGTGGATGCATTCGATTCACGGCAGGATCTCTCGTTCACCTGTCCAGCCCGCCATGCAAATGCCCCAACCCCTTGCGTGAGTTAAGCGCGTGGGTGGCGTATGATTAATATTCAATTACATGGCAGATCCTCCAGCTACTGTTCCTCCTACGGAAAAAACTATGCATGCGACAACAGAGCCGCGCAAAAGTATGCTTCACTTTGTTTGACATTGCTGGAAAAACTTTGCTAATTGCCCTCATCAGGGAAATAAAAGAAAAGCCCAAACAAAACAAAACAATATAATGAACGAGAGTCGATTCCATCAAAAACTTTACATTTTGGGGAAAGAAAGCCCCTCGTTTTGTGATTTATTCCTGTTATTACTAGACAACGTGTGCCTCCGTTTGATTTAATTATGCTCGCGTTGTGTGGGGGAGGAACAGTAGCCCTTGAGTTTTAAATATTCGAGGAAAACAATGCGGCGAAAATACGTTCCCCTTAGCACGCAATGTGTGGCAAATGAGCTTGGGGCGAAAAAGAATTTTAAATTAGCCTAATTATAAAATATTTTTGTTAAGCCCAGACAGGCAGAAGTTTGGTATTAACAGGGGGAGATGTTAAGCCAAAATAGCTTGAATAATAGAAAACAAATTCGAGGCTTCTCATCATGATGAATAATTTTCTAAATACCCCAGGCTGAAGAAAAATGTATACACAGAGTTTTACATTTTTGCCACCGAATTAAGAAACATAATAAAACAATTCTGCCTGTGGTTGTAAATTTTTAATTAAAAAAAAATAAATTCAAAGAGTTTCAACTTTTTTAGAATATTTAAAAATATTTAGTCTTAAAAGGGGTTCATGCTGCCATTGAAATAAAACACAAATATACAAAATTTTTGTATATATTTGTTCAGCAAATAGGAAAAAACACATTTAAGAACTTAATCGGAATTCAAGTTTATAAAATTCATTTTTCAAGTACAAAACTATTAGAAACTATCTAAGTTTAGCAAATAAGGAACCCTCCAAGTTTCAGGGCTTCCACCAAATTCTGGATTTGAATTAATGCCTCTTGGGTCTGCTTTAGTTTACTTTGGACCGACTATTATTCAAATAACTTCAATTGCGGCCTTACTTGGCATTCGGATTGCGTGTAGTTTTGGCATTCGCCAGCCGCAAATATATCAAACTCTGGCCATTTGACAAGGCCAATGTCCATGATTTATGGCTCCCATTATTTTATGTTTAGCTGCACGGATTCGTGACATATTATTACTGCAATTGCCAGGCACACATTTTGGCTTAGAAATAATGTTGCTTCTTATCGGCGCAGTTTACCACGCATTTGCTAGAAACTGAAAATATTTGTAGCCAAATGCTCCCGAAATGCTCACTTTATTATTTCCCCGCTGGCCCAGGTAAATATTGTTTAAAACAAATATTGTGTTTACCCGCTGCGGCTTTTCGTTGTTTAATGTGTTTTGTTCGGCATTAAAAATTAATTGCTATTTTATGAAAACAATATATTTTTTACGCCTTTGCTACATTTTTAATCGCACGCTACACTTTTAATGACACATTCAATTACTTCTTTGTTTGCCTTACACATATCAAATTCAACCCGATGTGCATGGAATTAATTAATCATTCTGCTAGAGTTGCCGTTTAATAAACTTTATCCATATTTCAGGCTCCCACCGAAAATAAATTGCATCTTTCGTTGGCGCAGAATATTTGATAATGTTTGCAAATGATTAAAGTTTTATTTGCATTTTGCCTGCCGCAGGAGCATAAAACATTTAAATTTCATGCTCAAAAGCCCAGCCTGCATAATAATTACGCGAATGCAATATTTTTTGGGTTATTCTCGTTTTTAATTTGGATTTCATCAATTGATTCATGCCAATTTCATATACCCAAATGTTGTGCGAGTGCTTAATGAGCGGCTGCACCAGCTGGAAACCGCGCCGAGTGAGCGTTTATTAATTTATGCATTTAAACGATGCCCGATTGCACATAACCAGCCCATTGCCATCGTCATTGCCATCTCCACTCCCTGTGCCAAATTTTGCATATTAATTGCTCATTAATTGTTGATTAGCTTTCAAGTGCCGCAACGTGGCCGCCTCAATCTCGTGGCCGCCCTGCTAAGCCCCCTGGTAATCCTCGGAGTTCAGACTCAAGGATACGCCAAACTTATCCAAGGCAACTCGGTATTAGTGCGACAAAATGTGGTAATCAATCAAAAAGGGGAAGGACCTCTCCTTAGCTCGAAGCTGAGTCGAGTTAAGTTCTTTCCTCAGGGCGCAAATACTTGCAATTAAGCATTATTAATCACAGCGACTAAGCAACACGACCAGGGCCCATCCGATATAGCTTCGGCATTAGGCAAAGCTATGCATGAAGTGAGCACTTCCGGTCCAGGCAAATAATTACATTGGTCATCGCCCCCGGCGGTGGTCACTGCGCTAATGTGCGCGTATTATTTTCTCATCAAAATTAATATTTAATTAAAAGTCGAGTGCGGGGGCTCGGTGTTTGTACAGGCGTCGAGAAAAGCTAATTTCCTTTTGGGAAAACCAGCATGATATTTATTTTTGTTCGGCAACTTAATGAATTTAGGGTGGAAAAATGGCAGAACATTTGAATAATGCCGAATCAAATGAAAGCTTAATTACAGAGGATAGACTATATTTACATATTTCCTAACTCTTCAAAATGTTTTTATTTATAAATATTTTAGGAAGAACACTCATTGAGAATTTTATTACTTTTAATTAAAAATTAATTCAATCAAACTCCTGCCTGTTATACCATGTTTGAAATTTATTAATACTACGAATGATAATTAAGGAAGAAGACAATAATAAATATATTTATTTGATAAACATAAAAATAAAAACAATATCATTGGCCTAACTTAAATATGAAAAAATAAAATAAATGAGTAAACGCGATATACAACGAAAGCAAGTCATAGAAAACGTGTACCTATAATTACAAAAAATGTGTTTGCCTTAGTAATTTCTATAAAAATAGCTTAAAAACTTTTTATTAAAGATTAAAGTTCTAAACTATGCGATGCTATAATTGATATCAATTTATAAAAATGCAATCCTATTTTCCATTAATAATGCAGAACAATATTTTATTCTAAACAGCAATGTCAAAGAGCCAAATAAATATAAAATTATTAATGGCCTGTAGTACTTTTATTTAAATGATTTTAGCAAACTAACTATTTCCCAAGCTTATGTGAAGATCCCATTGAGTTTTATTTTCCACAGGTTCACAAACTCACTGAGTGCAAAGTTAAATGGATTATGAATAAGCAATTACATTCCAACATGCAACGGAATACGGGTATGATGTTCAAAAACCGAACTCAACAAGGGCAACAAATGCCCCCAGAAATGCAAATACACAGAGCATCGAGCACAAAACAATTGAACTCTAATGACTGACAGAGTTCATTGCCAGGTCGCGGATCACAATCCGATTTATGGACTAATTACGCTGTTCATGTCAAATGTTGAATGTCCTCGAGAGTGTGAGGGCGTTTGTCTGGTCTGACAGAGAACAAGGGCATTCGAATAAAGAAATGCGCCAATCGAGCACAATATTCCTGGCCAAAACACTTGACTTGTGCGTGCCCGCAAGTCGACAACTAATCAATCAGTGCTAAAAGCCCTCATGGTCCGTGTTATTCTCCATTTTTTTTCGAGAGGCATCATATGATGGATTGGATCAGCGTGAAGTTTGATTTTCGGTTTTTTTCGTTGTTTTGTTTTGTAGATGGCAAACTTTCATCGGGTCTGAAAGCCCATTTCAAGTTTAATCTCGCGTGGCGAATTGACCAAAGGAAGGGGAAGGCGGTATATTTGGTTTAATTATGGCTTGATTTAAGACTCAATTACCGTTTAATAGTCCAGACCGGGTCCAAAAGTGCTTGACTTTGATTTGCAAAATTTACTTTCTTCGGGAATGGTTTTTCTATCTCGTCACACTTCACTGGAATTTCGCACCAAGGCTTCTTTTGGCTCTGCGGAAAAATTTAATTTTTCTTCAAAAATTTCTTTCGCCGGGCTAGGCTTTTCACTTTTTGTGCCGTTGGGCTGCCATTTGGCAGAATATTTATTTCTATTTTTCTGCCGGGGCAAGTTGGCGCCTCACACACACGCACACACGCTCGAGCACGGGCTCACGCACACTGTTACACTGACTTCAATTTGTTGGCTCCTTGCGATTTCCGGCGTTCCTTACTGGCTTTTATCTCCGCTGTATATTTATTCTCGGCTAGGTCAGAAGTTGCTATATCCGTTGCCTACTTTTTTGGGCGTTGTTTTTGGTCGCGCCTTGTCAATGCAACAACTTCAACACTCACACAGCCACACATCTTAGCCAAATCGCTCACACTCACACATATACATATGCTGGGTGGTATTCTCGAGAACGATTTTTGGGAAACGCGACGCGCTCGGTTCGTTTTTAAAGCGCTTGGACGGTCGCCCGATTACCGCTACCAAACAACACAAATATCGAACGTGAACTGACATGGAAATTCGCCAATTCAGCCAGCCAAAAAGAGGCCCAGGCCACAGGATGCCATTCGTTCTTCTCGGCCATTTTCGCTCGGTTTTAGCCGATTACCCTTGCTCGGCGACAACAGCGTCAAACGGGCGTGAGCTGAACTAATTGAGAGAGCTCTGAAAACTTTAGGGAGCGGGCGCATGGCATTTGTTGGGTTTGTGGAGCGGTAAAGAGCCATGAGAAATTTTCCCCTCTGTAAGGGGAAACCTCTTTGATACGGGGAAATTCCCTTTATCAAACATTTTCGAATGTTTTTAGTTCATCTAACTTGTTGCTAATAAACATAAAGTGGCTAGTGAAGAAAAACCATGTCTGGATCTTAGACATTTAGAAATCAGAGGGGTACGGCTAGGAATAATTAGATAAACATATTTTATTGAACTATTAGATATTCGATACTCTGACAATTTACATTGTTAATTTGGAAACAAATACAAGAGCAGCACAAAACGGCATTTGCAGTATTTTATGCATGGTTTTGTTGGCAAGACATTGACCTAGTTTCTATCGTCAAAAACGGTATGATCTCTTACATACAAACCAAATAAAATTATTGTTTAAAAACAAGGATTCTCTGATTTTAAATAAAAACATTATTAGCAGTGTCCAACCAAAAACCTTGCCAGCCTTGTACAAGACCTGTTTTTGACCGTCAAAGCAAGTTTTAAGATCAACATCACTCATATTCATATGACTGGCATTTAAACAAACATTAGTTTATGCATCCTTATTCACCTTACTACGATTCGTAAAAAAAATTTGCCTAGAAACAAAACTAATGTATACATTAAAATTAAATCACCAATTAAAATATTAGGGGAAGTTTTGACAATATTTGAAAATATTTATACCCGTTACTCGCAGAGTAAAACGATATATATATATATAAGGTAAAAAGAAGCGTTTCCGAGCCTATAAAGTATTTATAAACAGTATATATATCATCAAGGCTGATATAAAGTTAAGATTAATGTATTAATTAATATGTATGTATGTATTATTACCATCATTCGGCCACCCACTGTCACGCCCACTAAGCCCGAAAGACGGTTTTCCCATTTTGAAGAAAAGCTGATATCTCGGATTTTATGATGCCCCGAATGCGAATGGTTTTTTCTTTCATCTAGGCACGCCCACAACACCCGAGAAACCAAAGATGCGAACTATAAGAGCTAGAAAGTTGTCCTTCAGCATACGTGTTTTGGAGGGCCCACTGCAGCTTGACGTGAGTTTTCATCTGGCCACGCCCCCTCTAACGCCCACAAGTCGCGAAAAACTGTGGCGTCCATATTATTATAATGAATGTCTATTTATCGATTTACCAAAGATTTTTACAATCGGACAATTTTACAATCGGACAATTTTTGACAAAAGGTGGCGCTTTGTCCATTTCCACTAGCAAAATTAATACTTTAAAACTGTGAAACACTAACGAGTATGGTATAGACGCGGTAATCGACTATAGCTTTTCTTCTTGTTTTCTTTTCATTTTATTAATTATTTAAATATTTAGCAGCGAAGGTAAGCGCAATATCAACGCAACTTTGACATTCTTTTCGACCTTGTCCTTCATTTTAAGTTTTTCTATATGTCGTTTGCATGCTTAGTGATTTTAAGTATTAGGTGCTAGTATGGCAAAAGACACAATGGAAATGTAAACGGTTAAGGGACCTCAGGCATGAGATTACATTGTCGAGACAGTAAACGATAACGAGTGAGGTCGAAAAGAGTGCTTAGGTTCTAGTCCTGTGATTAAACCGAAATCCAGACTTAAACTGCAGTCTCCTTTGAGCGTGTCTCGGCAGTCACCGTTCAGCACGCCATTCAATCATGGAGCTCCCCTATAGTAATGAATGAGGATCAGCCAAATTTCTAACGATAAGTATAAAAGATATAATTTTATCCGTTACTCTTAGAGTAAGAGTTTGTAATAGATAAAAGGAAACGTATCCGACGCTTTATAGTATGTATATTCTTGATCAGGGACGATAAAGCCATGTCCGTCCACCTTTCCGTATGATAGAAAGTTAAGATTAAACATGTTGTTGCCAATGATGCTACCAAAGTGTATTATTTTATCAACATCTGGCCACGCCTACTCTGTCACTCATAAAACACATAAAACCATAACGCTAGAGTTTCGGGAATTAGGAGTAGGCAAACATTTTCATTCGGCCACAAACCACGGAAAACTGTGGCGTCCATAAGTCTCCACAAGCACAGTGACGTCACCATCATGCCTTTCTGAGAGGTATTTCGGCACTCGCATATGGCGGATCTTCTGGTCTTAAATATATAATATCAAAAAACACATTATCACTTAAATAAATGATTACACATTTTCATACTTGTATATTATTGCTTTTATAACATACTATATATTATTAAAAACGTAATGTTTATAATTACTCAACTAAGACTGAGTATTTTCTTTCCTTTAATCCTATAAATAATGTCATTATTCTACCAGCATTTTTATCTTTTAACAATCCGAGATTAACATTATCAGATGGTACTATACTAAAAATATTTTTAGGATTATAATTGGAGGTATCAAAGCAATTGGGATTTTCTTTAATTATTCTGTAAATGTCATTTTTCTGAAGATATCACAAACATGCTTGTATCAATATACAACAGTTTAAGAGCTGGACATTTCACTGATAGAAATTTGTAATAGTGCTCATACATTAACCATTTGGACAATTCAGAAAGACAGGCTCCCATAAATATAGATTTGCTATAACTAATTTCATTGACGGACTGAATTGCTACCAAATTTTTGCCGAAGATCTGTACGCTGTGAAAGTTGTCCCTAGCGATTCGTTGTTTAAAACCCGCCGAGTAGTGCCTGGCAAAGACAACATTATATTTATTTTCCACGGATCTCATTAGTCTTTCATAGACCACTTTATTCATTGACTTGAAGAAATGGCTTTCAAACTCACTTTGGGCTAGCTTCTTACCATTTAAATTGAACTCAATATAAGGCTTCAACCAGCGGGATTGATAAAAAGATAGGACTCTGTGGACTTTTGTTAAAACTAAAGCCATGATCCAGGCACTGTTGAAGGTGTTTTAAATGAATAACATAGTTAGACTTGTCTGTCAAGTCAAGAATTATTTTTGAATTTTTCCTTTCAGGGCAGAATGGCAGGTATTTATGTCTACTCTGAAGATTTGTGGGATATTTCAGATCTACTTCAAGCATATATCCTAACTTTCTGTCTGGGGAAATGTTTCGAATATCAAGCCGCGCTATTTGAGTGCTATCTAAAAACTCGAAGTCGGATAGTGGCAATGGCTGATACATTGCCCAATCGAACAAGCCTTCAGCCTCGAAAAAGGACAAAAAGTTTTCAGGTTTGTTGGGATCAAAATTTTCCAAGTATTTATTATTAGCTATTGAAAGATTTGGACTGAATTGAACTAAACTTCCACGAAGAGCACTTTGGAAAAACTCGTTTTTGTATGGATCTTCAATGAGGTCCAATTCAACCTTAGTAAGTTTTAGCATTGCGTCCCAAGCCATTGTGGGCAAGTCGAAATAATTAATTGGGTCTAACTTGTACAGTCTTAAGCAAACACATCTAAATTGTTCAAAAACATCAGCTAAAATACAAATATTTATCTTCATATATATGTTTTCAAATATGCGCCTAAACTTTTGCAATGAAACCTTTTCCAAACATCTTGTGCATAATTATAAACTTCGTCAGCACATATTTCTTCGTTTAATGAGTTTTCAAATTCGTTTACATCTGGCAAATTCTCTTCTTTTAATTTAGAAAAGTTGTCTAAATAACCATGCGGAAATGTGAGGTTTGAAATCGACTGCTCTTCGCCTTGAAAATATGTTAGAAGATTTTTGAAAAGTCTCGTATCCATACTTGCAGCCAGTTTATTTATACTAAAGTCCAGAAGATTATTTGAGTCTATAAATCTTAACTCAAACTTCATTCGGTAAGGAAGTCTTATTTCTTGAGACAAGGCACCATAAAAATCCTTATTGCTAGGGATGGGCTTCAAATCAGTTCCGGATTCAGTTATTAGCAAATGTATATCAGATCTAGACAATTTCATCGAAAATAACTGGAAAAAATGGTTCAGCTAACGAATACGTTATCTTACATGCCTTATGAATAGGACCAACATACTTTCCAGTGAAAGTGTTAAAAAGTTTTTTTCTCTCATTCGTAGTCATTTTTTCTTCGCAAGCACAACACGATCCATTCATTTGATAATTCCGCTCACATTCAGTTAAAGCGTCGATCGGGTTCTTAGGGGTCCAAGCTTTGTGGAAAAGTTCGGAAGTTTTCGTTTTTAACTGTAAGCCAAACCTTTTAATACAGTCCACTCCTGGAAATAAAAACAATGTTTTATAATACATTAAAGAAATTTAGCAATATGTTTGCTTTTACCTTCAAAAAAACAAATTTCATTAAGATCAGGATTATACTGATGAACAATATAGAATAAAGCTGCACACGCTTGGGGTTCTTCATCTTTTTGATTTGCCATTTTCTTTATGCTCGCAAAAATTACAACAGGTGGCGATATTTTTTTCGAAAATGATGTGAACTTCATTTTAGATATTTCCTCTGGATTTATAACATCTTTTTTACATTTCTTAGCATCACGAATAATATTGTTCTCATTAGGTTTCATCTTGCATGCCATGTAGGCGTAATGCACCAAGTGTTTTTCCTCATTACGTAGTGCCAATAAGTCTATACTATGGCTCCGAATCTCCTTCGATTTTATAGTTTGTACAACCAAACTAGTATCATCATCATCTACTTCAAATATATTTATGCTAATATATTTATTGTTTGACTCAAAGAGCGAAATACATTCTCTGGTTATGGGAAACTTTATCCCCGTAAAATTAAGTATAAACATATCGTATTCAATAATGTCCTCTGAAATGTCTGAGACTTGGTAATGATCATGAGATTCTAACTTGGCGATAGCATTTTGTTTTGCCAAATGGTTTTCAAAAGTGCAGTTTTTAATTTTTCTATAGGCAATGTACGCTAAAATGCTCCACTTAAAACAGAAATCATCATTATTTTTCACATTTATCAGTGTACATCTGGTTTGTAAACTCCGCGGTGTGGGCACAAGCCCAACTGTATATGAAGTGTGTTCCAATTTGACAACTGTCATCTCTAAATATTGATAATTCTCCAACGTCCAGTCTGGATCTTCATCTTGAAAAGCACCACATAATGGTATTAATGTTTCAAGCGCTTGATTTAGTTGCTTTGCGATGGATTCCACATCATATATTGATATATATGGTGCCACAAAATGCTTATTTATTTTGTATTTTTCTTCCTTTTCGGTTGTTTTTACATACAATCCGAAAATTTTTAGATTAAACTTAATGGACTTAAAATCTCCTATCCAGTGAGTTAGTATTTCTGTTATATCGTTTTCACACTGCTGAAAAAACTGCGTAAGGTCCACATCACTTTCGGTTTCCTTCTCGTTCTTTATTCGATACGTTTTTATTGGAAATATTGATTTAGTTGTTAATAAAGAAACATTTTCGTTTAGTTTTAGTTGAGAATCAGCACCGAAGTTGTCAGTCAGTTCATCTTCTTGGGCGACTCTATTATTTTTTGGTCGTTTTGCATCATTTTCCACTTCTACGGGCTTAACTTTGCACCTTCGATGGGCTCTTTTAGATTCCATGTCAAGAACGAACTATATGAATCTTAATGAGCAGACACTTTAAAAATATTATATATGTATATTCAATAGATTGAACTTCACACTTTTGGCTCTCAACGCGATAAAGTATAGTTCCCTTCGGCAGACTTATTAACACTGACTGCAGGCTCTCAGTCCTTACCAAGTTATAGGCAGTTTTTGTCAACAGTTTTTACCTGTTCGGCAGTTTATCAGGTAAAAATTGAAAAGTAGTTAACACATTTTGAACAAACAAGGCGTGCTTCTTTAAACAGTTGTCGAGTATAACGTGAGTTCAGAGGTCATCTTACCTGATTTTAATGCAGGCGTAAATTTAATTGTTATAGAAATTTTGTCGCCCTTAGTCATAGAAGTCATCATAAAAAGTTTGCCGATGGCTGACTCATGTTAAAATTGATAATACCGGCTCTTGTTTGGTTTTTATCCTGTTTGAAAAATTCCCCATTCCAAGCATGGGTAAACACAGGAATGTTACAAGTATATATGTATTTGCCATTATTATGTTAATCGACTCATCAATTCGGAAATTTTGAAACTATTTTTACAAAATCATTTATTGTGTACTTAATACCATATAAGAAACGCTCACAAAACCGTGACATACGGGATATGAGCAGGCTTCTAGCCTGGATCAATGTATTTCGCGACAACGCAATTCTCGCAAGAGTGGCGAATATTTTTGAGCTGACTTTGTAAGGCAGTGGGAACAGGCATTTGTTTTCCTTCCTTTAAGATCGGGCTTAAGCACCACCCACATACGAATATCCATTTATATCTGAGTACAAAGGTCGTGCTTAAGTCCGATGTTAATCTCCTCTATTGGTGGAATTCCAACAAATGCCCGTTCCCACTGCTTTACAAAGTCAGCTCCAAAATATTCGCCACATCCTGCGTCATTACGAAGTCACCAGCAAAATATTGGAAACTCCATTCAGTATTGCATTTTGTTGTTTCGCAATCGACTAGTGTACCTGGATTTTAAAGTTAGTGTAGATGTTGAATCACAGCTTATTTTAAGTTCTTCGAGGATTTCTATCTCATCAGTCTTAGTATTTAGTACTTATTGTGACATTAAAACTGCTCCCCAACTACATCCTTTGAGAAGACGATTGTTTTCATCCCAGCATGCAGATAGCTATGAGCTAGGAAGACAACAGTCGTTTAAGACAATATGCAGGGATTGCCCTAACATAACTGCCAATTCCTAAAATAATAATAAATAAATTACACGCAGTATTTGTTTCTCCGCTTTTTGTGGAACGTCTTTAAAGGTTCAACCCAGCAATCCGCTTCAAGATGATCAATCTCTTATCGATCAAACTCCACTGTTGTCTTTCGTATACGTCAGATATGTTGAGGGGCACAGAAGTTGGCGAGAGTTCCCTGTGTTGCATATCAATCGTATGGACATTGAAGCAGTTGTGGAACAAAATAAACCAAGACATCCCTGTTTTCGCCCACTATCAAAACGATCAATTGCTGGCTTTGGCCGCGCTTGTCCTGTAGAATACGAGGTGTGTTCAAAAAGTAAGGTGACTCTTCAAATTTCGCGAATTTCAAATTTTTCGATTATCGATTTTTTTGTTTTGTTATATTGGTACACTCTTCCCTAACATCTGTACCAAGTTTCAATGGAACATCCTCTTTTGTTTGGTTGTGAGAGGCGTAAAGTTACAAGTTGTTTTGCGAGCTCGGCGATTTTTGCTATCGAAAATATGGATCAAAGGATTTGGATTTTTGGCCAAAAAAACACCAAATAATGCCTCAGCCACCATATTCACCGGATTTGGCATGTGCTTTTCTTGTTCCCAAACTGAAGATAATCGAAAAATTTGAAAAATTTGAAATTTGAAAACCGTAAAAGGTTTCGATAATTGAAATTGAAATTTGAAGAGTCCTTACTTTTTGAACCGTATAATTAGGTCAGCTTTCTCTTAAGATGGGCGAAAGGCTAAAACCGGTGGCTGAGCTTGTGACCGATAGTTCGCTGTTATGATCATGAAGATCAATAGCCAGACAAGTGGAGATGAACATTTTCGAGAAAAAGTCAAATACTGCGGATTGGAGCATCCGTTTTATAAAACTCACCCATAAAGCTCCAGTTATGTGCCGAGTTACCGCATTAATCAAATTAGACTTTAGAAATATATAAAAAAAAATATATACATGTTTAAATGAAGATAAATTATCACCAAATGTTTTCAATATATGTATGTTGCAAAATAAATGTTACTGGGTGAAAATTAAATTTATACCAAAAAATTGTCGTTTCTACAATTACTTATAAAAAATACTGTAGCCAAAAATATATATATTTTTGGTATATACTTTGTATTCGAGTACAAGCCAGACGGCTCTCACTTACTTCCAGCTCTCGGTTGAAGCATAAAGAAAGCTGAAATCTTTATTCAAATACCAATTACAGTTCACAAACGTAAATGTAAACTTATTTTTTCGTACAATTGTGGTTTGGCGCTCGTCAATTTTAAATAGCGCCTATTTCAAATCTAAACTTTCAAGCACTGGCCACCTTAACATAGGTAGGTAGTGTTGAACAACTTCAGTATTGCCAGACTTATTTCGAATTTCAAATAAACTGGCTATTCAAATTGGACCGTTGCCGCGCAAGTGTGCAGCCTTGTCAAATCCGCAACAAGTATATTGTTTTAAAAAATGGTATCTGCTTAATCGCAACTTTCTACCTTTTTCATTTACCTAGGCATGGGCTTTAAGCACAGATTTTTATGAGTAATTTCAGTTGGATATTTTGGACTTTTAAAAACTCTTAGCTAGGACATACTCCTTTTACTTGACATTGTTAGCTATATTAAGCTTTGTAAAAATACAAAAAAAAACATGTATATAGGTCCTTTTACTATTCAGAAACCCTTTGAACTTTTAAATTAAAGCATAAATCAAAAGCCAACAAGCTATATCCAAAGTTTCCTGTAAAAGCTTTTGTAAGTCCTTGTAAGTTTCTGTTGAGTTTTCAGTAGTTCTTCCCATTTCCGATAGATGTCTGTTCTTGAGCTGAAAAATAATTTTTATATATCTTAGTAATAAAAAGAAGTTGCAATTTGATTAATAGTAATTAATTACATTTACTCTTCAATTACCTTTTCACAACGAGAATGACTGTTTCAAAATATTAAAGCCTCGTAAGCTCACAATTTGAAAATTTGTGAGTTAATAATTTCTAAGCAAAATCCATTTATAGCAAAATCCGTTAAATTTACACGAAGCAGTATATTTTGTGCTGACTACTGCGTTTTGTGAAAATATACCTCACCTGCAGTTAAAAGCTTGGAATAATTCAGTTTTAATTTCGTATTTTCTTTCTCTCAAAAGGTGCAGATTAAGGTATTGCAAAACGGGGTCAATGGACAGAAATAATAAAGGAAAGTAGTGCATCGGAGTGTGGTTGAGGTCTGGCAATGATTTTTTGTGGGGTTCTTCCTTGCGTCTGTGGCTTCGAATGGAAGCTGCGAGTGCAACTGGCTACTGACCTTATAAATCATAATTTCCAAGAAATAAATCCTTCACGGACAATTTAACCGCCGCAGCCGATTCTGGGCCAAAACTGCAACAGTCGCAGGGACTTTGTGACTCGGATTCAGTTTCCGTTTATTTTTTCTTCGAGTTTGCTGGGGATTTTTGTGTCTGGCAGCCAAAGGCCAAACAATAAAATGATCACAGGAAGTGCATTTGTACGTGAGAATGTGTTTTTGGTTTTGCAGACACAGGCAGAGGGCTACTCTGATGAATTTAATGGAGGAACTTGAATTAATATTGGGCTTCTAGTCAACTCCATGTGCAGGTGATTGATGGCTAACCCTGTCAGCTGCTTAATGTCCATCTCTTTGGCTAATAACTCATTGCCCCTACCTTCGTTTTCAAAACCTTTCCCCCAATTCTGAATCGGTTTTGTGTACCAAAGTGCCTCAAAGTTTGCTGATGATGCATTTGGTTTTGGGATAAGTATTTTGCAATATGGGAGCCACTTACCGAACCACAAAACCAAGCGAAATGCATTTACCAAGAGAAGAGAAAGCTCACAGAAAGAAATTTGTATAATCTGCTACTTGTCTTACGTCTCTAGAGTGCAGATAAATGAATTTATCTTGTAAAAGATATATATATTCTATATTTGTATATTCACCTATACAATTCTTATCAATTTTAATTTTTCAATGTGTTGAATATGTAGTGTAAAATTTTGGATCAATCGAATTAGTAGTGTAATTATTTTCTGTGTAATGCTATTATTGCTTCTACTCAGCTTGTGCGTTGCGTACGCTGGCCAGTTGCATTCTGAATGGCTGTCCATGTGTCTGTTTGCGGTTCGAACGAATCTGCATTGATATCGAACGTTTAGCAACTTGCATTTCCCACCGCGCTCAAAAATGTAATTTACACACATATCTCAAACATTGGAGAGCAGAGGAGTACTGGGGATGATGCCAGTCCGAATATTTTGGTAATTTTGAACTTGGCATTCCGACAATTGGAGTCGGGGCTGATTTGCAATTGTCCACATTTGCATTCCAGGACAAACCTGATAAACAGTGAACAGAGAGCACTTTTAACATGATTTTATATTTCAAAAATTCACTAGGGGTTAATATATTATTGACTGCTTAAATCAGTAATATTTTATTGTTATGCAAGTTTTCTCAGTGACGCCTTATTTTTATTTTTATAACAAATCCTACGGATCTTCAGACCATTGCGAAGACTTCTCTAAGGACTTTTGGGTATATTTTAACCTTATTGACCATTCTTAAAACAGCATCCTTCAACTCCTTGATTAATAATGATTTAGGAATTATTATTATAAAAGACATTTATTTATAGAATTAAATTATTTATACATTTAATATAAATTATATTTTAATAAGTTATGCGCACTCCGGGCTTACAAGTTGTTGTTCTGTGTGTAGCATTTTGGCAATTCAAATGTACGGTGGCTAAACATAAACACGAGTTCCCTAAAACATTATTCGATGGGACACCCGAAGATACTTTGGGGGGACACCCTAAACAAACACACTGAGCACGTTGACATGTGCAAGCATTGCGAGCAATTCTGCTATATCCCCCGATATTTGCTCCCTTCGAGGGGCTATATCCCCCGATATTCCCCCTCTCCTAGGAGCTAATTAAAGCGCGCACGCGTGTGTGATATGCCACGCCAGATGTTAGCTAGTAGATGTCTCACCCAACCAGCGTCAAAATGCAAGGAACATGTC